GGATGAGGTTAGCAGTTTGGGAATAAAGACTAACGTGCAATGAAGAGGAGGCGTTCTAGGGGAGCATGTCAGCCCCGCTCCGTGCCATCATCTTCTCCCCGTACTCTGGACTTCACTTTCTGAGAGAGCTGGGTTATTTCCCACCCTTTCTCTCATTTTTTTTTTAAAGATTTTATTTTTTTAAGCAGTACCTGAATATGTTCTCTTTATTAAGTTATCATTTAGACAATATGAAGAAAGTGAAATTTCGCCTTGATACCCCCATTGCCCCTGAGATAACCACTCTTCTTTGGAGCATACCCTTACAGATCTTTTCCCGATGTGCTAACTTTTCTTTTATGTAGGTGTATGTGCAGTTGCTCAGATTAGCTCTTCGATAGCAAGGTGGCACGTCTCTATGGTGCAGCTGGTAATAAAGAAGGAGGTAACTCTATGTATCTGCACAAGTATTTTTGGTGTGTGACAGTATAATTCTGGCCTCTGCTGTTGTTGACCTGACCGGCACTTCAGCTCTTTTATTTTCTTTTTAATCCCCCTGTGCAAGGAGCTATGACTTGACTGCTTTTTTCTGGGTAGCTAGAATGAGGCCATTTTCTTTTGAAAGGCAATCGTAGAATTTCTAGTGCTTTTCTTTAATTGCGCGTGCACGAATGTGTATGCAAGTATGTCTGGACGTATGGTTTCTTGGTTGTGGACAATGGAACCTGGAATTGTTTTGTTTTGAGATACAGCTTTACATTGAGTTTCACAACTGATTTTACAAGTGGAGCTACAAAGGATAAAACAAGTTTGCTGGAGAAATTACCACGACTCAGTCAAAACAGAGTCGTGTTTTTTATTTGTTTGGCAGCAATCAAAAGTGTGGCCCAGACACAGCAAGTGTGAAGCATCCAGATTTCTGTCTTGGAATGTATACATGTCCATGTGATTAAAATCTTTATTTGACAAATTTACATGGTAAATAAGCATACAATAAATATCTTTTAAGTCTTATCACCCGAATCAGACTATACTTGATTTAAATAGGACATTTCTTTCCTTTTTTTTTTTTTTTTAAGATTTTATTTATTTATTTGACAGAGAGAGACACAGAGAGAGAGGGAACATAAGCAGGGGGAGTGGGAGAGGGAGAAGCAGGCTTCCCGTGGAGCAGGGAGCCCGATATGGCGGGGCTCCATCCCAGGACCCTGGGATCATGACCTGAGCCAAAGGCAGACGCTTAACGACTGAGCCACCCAGGCGCCCCTAAATAGGAAATTTCTATACTGTGCCCTTTTCTGTGGTCTTTGTGCTTGCTAGGAGTTGCTAGGTTGTCCCGATGTTTCAGCATGCCGTCAGAGGTAGCACACCCAGGAGATTGTCTGGAGCCCCTTGCTATGATGCCTCAGGCTGGGTGAGGCCTTACAATACAAGTAAGATAATGCAACTGGTATTTGGCTTATTATTTTTTGTTTGTTTGTCTTCTTGTTTTGCAATGGCTGGCCGGAGAGAAGTGTGCAGCAATAAATAACCTGTGGTTTATAGCATTGTGACCATGGGTGGCAGACTTTTTTTTTTTTTTTTTCTTCTGTGCCAACTCTGACCAGTTAGCTATAGCTTCCAGGGATTCTGAGTTTGAGGCTGGGATCAACAGAGAGTAAGCCACCTACTTGCTGAATGATGTCTGTCACGGGTTTGGCGGGAAGGTGTGGGGAGTGGCGGCAAGGGTTTTCTGCCATCCAGAATATAGGGCAATGATTATAATTGGACTCTGCGTAACTTTGCTAGATTACATTTTTTAAGCACTCACAATAAACAGAGTTGAACAATTCATAACTGATTCCTTATTTTCAGTTTACACTATCAAACCAGTTTACACTATCACACCAAGTTTATACATATGTATATAAATTTTAAATGGAAACAAAACTAGCCCATCACCTATTCAGGCCAAGTGTGTATGTGTGCCTAAGTAACACACACATTCACTTACTAGCGGTGCCTTTGTGAATTCGAAGACCTTTGCAACCTTGACGTGGTGCCCAGGCAGGAAAAAGACCCAAAACAGTGCCATGCTTTTAAAAAACCTTAAAAAGTCTAAGGTTAGCAAGTGCAATTCAGTAGCCTACCAGTGCTTTATATAAGTCACCTTTTGTGTTTCAGTCGCCCTTAGTCATCACTTGAGAGAAGAGTTTTAGTTCATCTGCAGTTTTATGTAAATAGCAGCTCTCCTTAGAGTTGTCCCTTCTCCTGCTGCTTTTTTTTTTCTTCTAAAAACAGAAGCCATTGTTTTTGGCCGTGGGCGGGGAGAGGGGGCATTTGTAGATTGAGACTTCTTTCTTGCTTTTGTGAATCAGGCCACGTTGGCCACACAATGTCCTTGAATATGGCTTGAGTTATGAAGCCTAGCAAAATGTACCACTGACCTACTGTTTTTTGGCCTCATAACGGTGTATTTCGAGGACACGTGGCTTCCTTTACTATAATGTTTGTCACTTTATGATTCAACTCCTATAGGTGTTTTTTCTTCCTTTTGGGAGAGTATGAAGGGAGTAAGGAAGCCGATATAGTTTTAGATGAGGTTTTTGATAGTTCACATTATTAGCTTGATCTAGAGAAAATAAGACTCACTATGTGATCTTTTTCTTGCCCTCTGGTCTTCAAGTTCTGTATGTTATCTCAGCCTTTCCTTTTTGCTCACTCTGAAGAAATCATGGTTGTATGTTATGTTATAAAAATCATGTCAGAAGTAAGTTTCTAAGAGCTTTCCAATATTATCTAGCCAAAGAGAAAGTCATGGGAACTTTTCCCATTCTGCTTTTCCTTTTTAAATACCCTTATTCACTTTATCTTTTTCTCCATTTTTTTAATGGCTCAAACGAAATAGAAGTTTTTTTTAACTGAGATATAATTGACATATTATATTAGTTTCAGGTGTTTAACATAATGATTCAATATTTGTAACTTTTTCTCCATGTTTGATTAATGATACAGAGTCCCTCAAAAGAGCCTCCTCAGTATTTCCTCTTTTCGTGAGCTGTTTTGGGAAACAAAAGAATCACTTGGGAAGGGTGGTGAGTTCAAGAGGGCATTTAAATTTAGGATAGCTTACATATTTATTTAACTTAAAAAATTTGTTCAGTCACTATTCATTGACTACTAAGTGCTATTTTGTTAGCATTCAAATTTGCTTTGTAATTCTTTTTTTTAAAAGAGTTCATTTATTTGAGAGAGAGAGCAGGAGCAGGGGGAGCGGGAGAGGGAGAAGCAGACCCTCCCCTGAGCAGGAAGCCCGATGCGGGGCTCGATCCCAGGACCCTGGGATCACGACCTGAGCCGAAGGCAGACGCTTAACGACTGAGCCACCTAGGCGCTCCTCATGGTTGTTTTAAAATAGCTTTTTCTTTATGTGTATAACTAGTACATAAGCACGTGATTTTTTTTTTTTGCCTTTGAAATGTTTTTATTTTGGGTTAGTCATAACTAATGATGGTTCTTACAACAAGAGCTTGTGGGTTTAATGTTTAATGTTTAATGAACAGTTTGTGACTTTAGAAGTTAAATAAATTGGAAATATTGAAATTGATAGAAAAGCTAGTCTCTAAATAAAACTTAATAACCTAATAGCAAATATGGCTTTAGATTGATATAACTAAGCACTTTAATCTTGAAACATTCTTAAATAGGATTTTTGTTCCCAGGGGAAAAATAAACTTCATTTTAAAGTATATGTATACTTCCTTTGTGAGCATTCTTTTTTTTCACTTCCAAATGCCAAAAAGTGTACTCTATATTTTTTTTTTTAAGATTTTATTTATTTATTTGAGAGAGAGAGAATGAGAGATAGAGAGCATGAGAGGGAAGAGGTTCAGAGGGAGAAGCAGACTCCCTGCTCAGCAGGGAGCCCGATGCGGGACTCGATCCAGGGACTCCAGGATCATGACCTGAGCCGAAGGCAGTCGCTTAACCAACTGAGCCACCCAGGCGCCCTGTACTCTATATTTTTGTTATGAAAATTCTGCTTGTTTAAAGTATTGTAGCAATTTTATAAATCAATAAAACTGAGCCATGTCAACATTGTGGGGGAAGCTTTAATAAATTTGCTACATCACTAAGAAAAATTGAAGGACAGCATGTATTGAAAGTGTAAGGAAGGGTAGCCCTTTGCTTTTAAAATAATATGACAACTGGTTTCCTGAGCACTTAAATGTAAAATCTGATTGGCTAAATCAAAGTTAGTGTTGTGATGTGAGAAAAGATTGTAGGAGGAGAAGAAACATTTAAATGAAAATATTTAACGGGTCACCTGATTTGGCTAGATCAGGGGTTCTCCCCCTTGGCTGTGCATTAGAACCCCCCAGGAGCATTTACACTTCCTGATGCTTGACCCCGACCAATTACAGCAGGCTCCCTCGGCGTGGAACGCAATTATTGGTATTTTTTACAGCTCCCCTGCGATTCCAATGAGTAGCCAAGGCTGAGAACCACTGAGCTGGGTGGAAGCTCTCACTCCTGGCTGTTACATTTAAGAGGCATATTAGATAGCGTTCCAAGTTCGGGGCCATCATCTAACAGCCAGAAAGGCCAATCATTTTTCCAGGTCCTTGGTAGCGCCTGAAGATCAGCAGCATCGGCTTCACCTGGGAGCTTAATGGAATTGTCGAATGTCGGACCCCCTACCTAGGATCTGCCGATCCTCAGGTTCTCCCTATGCTCTGTCAAGCTTGAGACGCACTGTTGCAGGTGGTATTAGGGTGAATGTAGCTCTTGATACATCCTGCCTTCTGCTGCTTTCTCTGGTTTTCTGTCCTAAGTCAGTCGTGCGTGATATTTTCATACAGGGTTGGAAAATGAAAGCAGTACTGTGTGCTCACGTCGGCAGGTTACAAGCTAGAGGTGATCTTTCTGATCTGGAGCACGTGTGGAGGAAGTGACGCCCACCGTCACATCACCACCGAGCTCCACGCTCCCCAAGGCGGGGAGACGTCCTTAGCAAGAAGCATTTGTTCTTTAGGCTCTGCTGGTTCAGGAGCACCTGGTTTGGGGGGCCCTCAGAGAAGTACACATCCACACCAGGCTCATCCATAGCAGCCCCTTCTGGCTGCAGAAGGAAAGGAATCCTGAACATCAGAGACCTGGAGGTGATGTGATTTTGGAATATAGATGAGGTTTGGTGGGGTGGAGTCTGGAGCCCAGACCAAGAAAGAGTTCTTGAGGCGTCTTTGGTGCAAAATGGTGGTTTATGAAAGCCCGGGGCCAGGACTCGTGGGCAGAACGAGCTGCTGCCCTGGGGCTGTGAGCTGTGGCTGGTTCTATACTATGGGGTTGGTGGAGGTAAGGAAAAAGGGAGGTTTTGAAAGAGCTTTCATTTGTCAAAGAAGACTCACAGGAGACCAGAGCCCTTGCCATTGTTAAGTTAGGTGGTTTACCCCTCTAGTAAGGCATGAACAGTGAGATAGTTGGGAGCTTCCTGGAGGATGTTAGATTCCTATCGCACATCCTTATCAATGCGCTGCAGGTTTAAAAAGAAATTCAGTTTTATTTACATTTCCTTCTGCATCAGCCTCCCTCAATTTTATGGAGGAGAGGGTGATGTTAGGGCTTCAGGAAACAGTTCTGGGTCTCTGGAAGTTAGGCTATTGATAAGAAAGCTTCTTCCTTGTAAATCACTAGGGCATTTGTAAACTGAGGGAGACTCAGGTCTTGCAGGACTGTGATCCGTACAAGTTAACTATTTGTTTTTCCTTTAGGGCAGCCAGGAGTGCCTGAGGAATGTCACACATGTGGGGGGGGGGGTGTTGCAGGGTGTCAGCTTCTGCTTTGTCCTCAGCTTGCCTTCTGTTCTCTCATCAGAGGGGTTTCCAAAATGGGGCTCACCACTGCCTCTTTTTGTGGGAGCTATGTGTAGGTATTTCTCAGATGCCTTGGCATCTATCTGCCTCCTCCCTTTGAAAATGTAGGGCAGTATTTCTTAAACTTTTTGAATCACTGACATTTTTAAAAATGAAATGAAAACTAGGAGTCCTAATCCCTAAAAAATATACATAGACATCATCTCAGTATGTTCACGGACCCCTGAAGATACGAGGATAAGCATGAATTTCAGGTTTGGAGTCCTGACTTTCAGGACTCCCTGGCTTTTCCACAGGATTCCTGAGGGATTGGAAAGCAATGGCATGCTCTCTCCGCTTACTTGCTTCCCACCTTTCCTTAAAGTGAGGTAGGAGTGAATGGGGGTTATCCCCATGAGCCACATTCCCACACCACATCCTCAGGGGAGCCCGGCTTGCTGGGCTGGACTCGTACCTCCCCGCTGCCAGCTCGGAGGCAGGGGGCATTGGCACCGAGAAGGCGGTGGGCAGTGAGGTGCCCTCTCACCTCTGCAGGTTTCCTCTCTCCCCCACCTGTGGTGTACCCCCAGGGTCTACCAGCCTGACGTTATTCCTGTATCCCTAAGACCCCAGACAAGCTTAAGAAAGACCTTTCCAGGAATGGTTATAAAGCCCCAGAGGTGTAATTACAGGGCCATTAGGGGCAAGAGATTTGGTGGTAGGTAAAGGTCTTCCTGTGAATGGCGTCCCCCAGGAGGAAATAAGCTCTTTGATGTAGAATGACAAATAAACATCATAGCTATCTCAGACTAGCTAAAGACTTGGTAAAATTTGATCAAGTAACTACTTTGCTTAAATCTCCTTTATGCGTCTCTTTACCTCTTAAGGAAAAGCCCAAACTCGGTGGTGTGGTTTTTGAGGCTTTTTGCAATCCTACCCCGCCTCTTGCCCCCAGGCCTCTGCTGTTGCAAAGGTCGTCTGCCTGGAAAGCCCCACCCTGCTTCTCCTTATCTCCTCCCTACTTCAGGTCGAAGTTTTGATGAGGAACTCCCCCAACCTGATTGTTCTGTATTTCTCTGACTGGATCAGATGCCCCAGTAGTGTGCTTTGAAACACTATGGATTTTTTTTCTTTAATTAAACCACAGCACTTAATTTCATTTCTTAGGTGATATCCTGTTCCTCCTGCGAAGATGTAGTCCTGTTTACACCTTCCGTGTTTCCACCTGCCGTAGCCTGACTCAGCCTGCATGCAGCACCGATGAAAACTTTTCGTTCTAGCATCCATCAATTAACTTTGGGGAGCACTGTATCACCTCTCGGAGAATCACAACACATTTAGCTCATCAAAGGCTCTGAGAAGTCCTGCATCAAGAAGTGCAAAAACCCAAGTCCTAAGTTTGGTTGTGGAACACTCTTTTCACAGCATCTACCAACATCCTGAGGAAAAGAGTTAGGGAAATATAGATCCAGAGATACCAAAAGGCATAAAGTTAAGCTGTAAGCTTTCACTTTTTATAACCTTAGACTAAAAATTGATGGGCCAATCTATTTTTAAAGATTCTTCTATTTTTCTAGCAGACCATCTTTTCTCCTATTACAAGGAAACTGGACTTTCTCTGAATTTTTCAAAGTTATATTTGGGGCAGAGTAAACAAATACAAATTTCTGTTTTTGGAGCACAAGCATAAAACATTATTCTTGAATCAGTCGCCATAGAGACTCTCAATTGGTTATTTTACGTGCTGTTTGCCATTTACGTCCCGCCCCACCTTCATCTGTATAATCAGCTACTATTGAACGCAGGTAATACGTTCCCGTGGCTGCCCCACGCGGCCGGAGTAGGCTGCAGACTTCTGCTAAGGCATAAATAGAGGGCAGACCTTGCCTCTGGCGTGGCTGACCTCGGCTGCATAGGCTGTCGGCCCTCCCTGCTCTCCCCCGCCCAGACTGGCTCTTGAGGCCAGGCTGGGGTGACATCCTTTCAGCTTTAGAGTTCGCATGAGCTTGCGCTGTACCTCAGTCGTGGATGGGACGTGTGAGGGTATTAGCACGTTGGGGTTGGAAATCCTCCCCAGGAATCACCCAGCAAGTTCTGCCTCTCATTTTAAGGTAAGAATAGGCATTTAAAATGGTTACATGATGTCGTAGATGCTGTTGGTACTGCCCAGGCCCCCCAGGGTAAGTGTACCCGACCAGGTTTCTTGAGTGCTGGCTCCTTAGCTGCCCTGGCTTGCAGAGACTGCTCTGGCCGACGGGTGTCCCTCTTTGTCTGGGAGGTCATTTCCCTCCCCTCTCTCGGGCCTCCCCCGCCCCACCCCGAAACTCACAGCCTGTAAGGGCTGTCCTTGGCTCTTCACTACATTGTCCTTCAGGTACGGTCTATGTTATCTTGCTCATCTTTGTGTGGTTCCCAAGGGTGCCTAACACAAAATACTGTGAACTGTAGATGTTCGGTATTTTTGATGGATTGAGTTGAATCAGTCCCCATAAAAATATTTTTCTTGATAATTTTAAAAAGATTTAAGCTGTTATTTTGGGTTTTTTTTTGTTAAGTTTTGAGAATAAATTTATCCATGAGAATCAAATCTGTGCTTTAAAAAATTGTTGAATATATTTAACACAATAATTCAAATATTTACTTTAAAGAACCTATTGACGTGGGCCTTTTTGAGCTCGATTTACTTGATCTTATCTGTGATCATTTCTGTGATTTGTGAGGTCATACTCCCCAACCCCAGAATTTCACAAGAAACAGCCAACCACACATTTTGAGGTGCAGATAGCTTGCTTTATTTTGTTGTTACTATTTCTCAAGGAGGTCCAACAATTGTAACTAACAATTGAATTTATAACTGCATGAAAGGAACTACATCAAATTGACATTTTGGGCAGTTAGTAATGGTGTAGTTGTTTTTAATTTAACGACAGCTTTATTTTGTTGTTGTTGTTGTTTTTTTTTTTTTTGCTGTGGCTCATTGCTTAGTTGCCCCAGTTTCTCAGGTTTAAATTTGAATTTAGAGCTACCACACGAAGGCGTTGGCTGCACCCCAGAACCTCCAAGAGTTGACACTGCTCTGGCATAGGAATACTTGAATAGCTTGGTGAAATGAAGGGATGGCCAGGCGATGTTACTTTTCCAAGCTACCCCTGCACTCTCTATGGTCAGAGACAGTGTGGAAGGAGCGAACAGAGTGTTGGCCGTTACACTCTGCTCTGGTAATATTTAAGTCATAATTTAGAGTGTGACATCATCAGAAAATGTAAGACATTAAAGTGTTGCTTACAGGAGGGTAAATGCAAACATCACCAATGCCTTACATTTCTGATTCAATAGGTATTGGTGCACATGTCCGGTTATGTGCATGGCATCATCTTTTAGGTGGATTGGACTTCTTCAATGGGGAATTTCTCAACCCACTGAGGCATACTTAGACATCAACATTATGTTGAGGCACAAAGATTGATTTAAGTGTTGAGCAGGGTATTCGTTCCATAAGAAACTTTCTCCTACCAATGGTTAGTTTCAAAAGTTACATTGTAAAATGTCAAAATAAATGGTACAAAACTTTATAACCGTTAACCCGGCTATATACAGTATGTACATGTCACTAGAAAATGCATAATATTCTTAGGTCAACAATTATGAAAGATTGAAATGTCTAATTTTGAACTTTGACTCATTTAGGCTGATACAAAACTACTTTTTCTTTTGGAATATTTACAGATCAGAAAGATTAGTCCATGTGAATCATTTGTGAAAGGTTAAGGAGTATGACTATGAGGACCACAGGCCCTCTTACATGGATCGAATATTTATATTCACAGTGGCAGAGTCAGATCCAAATTCATTCCCTAAGCTCAGGGTATAAAGTCCACCATCTTGTTTCTGTACGTCCATGATGATCAGAGTCGTCAGGTCATCTGTGTTTTCAATGTGGAATCTCCCGTGTTGTTCTTGGGTTTGAATTTTTCTTCCGCCACGGGACCATGTTATTTCTGGGGTAGGCTCACCCGTAAAGGCACAGGCTACTGTTAAAACTTTGCCCTCATCAATGCTGATGTCAGAGGGAAGAGCTTCAATTTTAGGTGGAATTCCTTTACAGAACAACAACAAAAATGTTTTAGGATTGCTGAAAACATGATTTGCGTTCTACTAAATTACATGAACTAAAGACTCTACCGTGCTACTAGGCTTGTCTGCCTCTACCAGTAATTTTTTATTGCTCACCTCTTATGCCTGCTTTAAGCATTCTACTAGTTGAGCTCTCCAGTTGTGTCATGCTAGATTTTCCCATAAAACTGCTGGAACTCATTTCTACAAAGGACTCTTGCATGGAGGACATGCTTTGGGCAGACATGCTTGCAAATTTCATTTCAGTCATGCTGCTAGCACTGCTGCTGCTGAGACTGCTGAAGGAGGCCTCCTGCTTAGAGGCAGACATTTGGACTGACTGAGACGAGAAGCTTCCTTGCAAGCCTGTGTCACCACTTGTTCTCAATACTACCTCTCTGGGAGGTTCTTCAACTAGAGCTGTGGAGCATAGCAGATACACGGTGAACATCAATGACATCTGGTTAATTGGGGACATCTGACAGTGACTTCCAGAGATGGAAAACTTACACACACACACACACACACACACACACACACACACACACACACACA